TAAATTTAAATAAATACTTTTTTATTTTCTTTTAAAAGATCTACTTAAATATATGTTCTACAATTTTATTTACTAATTTAAATTTAAGCATGTTAACAAACATAAAATATTTAATTCACATACAGGAAAATCAGAAAATGAAATTGACATAAAGAAAAAAATCTAATAAAAGGATAAAATGTAAATAATCCAAAATTAATTGAATAAAAAACCATTTTGCATTTGTTAAAAAATAGACTTTAAGTTTAACTCAACTTTATAAAATCAGTTTATAAGATGAGATTTGCACTTCATTTATATATTTTAAATTAGTCTTATCTCTAGTCGATGTGAAACTTTCAATGGCATATCCATGCACATGTTTTCCAAAGTTTACTTTATATAGAATTTAACTTTCAAATTTATATTTTCATCATGCACGTAATATTAAGAAAAACGTCTCTTTAACAATTTTTTTTGATAACTTTTTTATAACAATCTATGTGGTAGTTTATGATCGGTTCGTTTCAAATATACGAACCAATAAAATAGTGATACATAGTCTATTGTCAAAAAATTGTTAAAAAAAGTTATTAATATCATGGTCATGATATTAAGTATGAATTCTTGTTTTCTACCATGTTAAGTTGGAGAGAGAACCAGACAAATAATGTAACATGTTTTTGACAGGACACTGATGTAATGTGGCTAAGAAACCCATTTACAAGATTGAGTAAGAATGTGACAGAAGACCTTCAAATTAGCACAGACATGTACAATGGTGATCCTTGGTCAAAGGAAAACCTACTCAACACTGGATTTTACTTTGTGAGGACAAGCAACAAGACTGTCTCCTTGTTTGAAACATGGTACGGTCGAAAGGATAATTCCACAGGTAAAAAGGAGCAAGATGTGCTTCTTGACCTGATCAGAGGAGGTATTATTGAACAGTTGCAAATTAGGGTTAGGTTTTTGGACACCCTTTATTTCAGTGGATTTTGCCAAGACAGTAAGGATTTTAGGGCAGTCACCACTGTCCATGCCAACTGTTGTCGGAGCATCAATGCAAAGGTAGCAGATATGAAGGTTGCCCTCAGTGATTGGAAGAAATTTAAGAGGTTGGAAGCTAATTCTACAGTGAATCCTCAAT